TTGAGTCTAATTTTCTATTCATTCGCATTATTTACACATCTATCCTCATTCATCAATCCCCAGTGCACGATGAGAAATGTATGTAAAGCAGATGGTACTGGCCCATAGGAGGACATGCATAAATATGGAGCATGGATTTCTCAAACTTCCCTGGGGTGAGGACAGCCTGCTCTAGTAGAAACTTTGTTTAAGTTTGGATTTACCAGTTCTGTGACTTTGGGCTCATCAATATTTCTCTATTGCTTAATCTCCAAAATGGAAAAATATCTAACGTGCTTCATTAAAGGCCAGTGGGCTAGATGAGGGGATCTGTTCAGGTCCGTTTTAATTCTAAGATATTGTAGCTTTAGAAAGCATTAGCACTTAATCATGTTTTACTAGCGTAGGCCATTCAAGGACACAGACTTGGATTGAACACTCTTTTGCAACACTTACTAAGGGGTGATGCCAGGCTTGTGACTTAATATTTCTCATTTTCTGTTTCCTATTTTGTAAAGTGAGAATATCCCTTAAGGTTGTTACAGGGATAAAGTCAGATCATGTTTGTAAAGCATTTTAGCACAGTTTGTGGTCCATGGAAAGCTCTCGATAAATGGGAGATATAATGACCACCACATCCATAACCACAGTCCTAGAACTTGACACTAAAGTGGTACAAATGTGTACAGTTTGTTTGTTGGGAGATTTTTTTTTTTTTTTTTTTTTGCGGTACGCGGGCCTCCCACTGCCGTGGCCTCTCCCGCCGCGGAGCACAGGCTCCGGACGCGCAGGCCCAGCGTCCATGGCCCAGGGGCACAGCCGCTCCGCGGCATGTGGTATCCCCCCGGACCGGGGCACGAACACGCGTCCTCCGCATCGGCAGGCAGACTTCCAACCACTGCGCCACCAGGGAAGCCCTGTTGGGAGATTTTTGATTACTGTTTCAATCCCCTTACTAGTAACCGGTTTGTGCAGATTTTGTTCATTAATGTATGAATGCATAAAGAAGATGGGGCAGACATCCACAATGGATACTACGCGGCCGTAAAAAGAGAATGCAGTCCTGCCATGGATTACATTTACAGCATGGATGGATGTGGAGGGCATCACACTAAGTGAAGTAAGGCAGATGGAGAAAGCCAAATACTGTATGATTTCGTTCAAATGTGGAATTGAAAAAACAAACAAACAGATGAAGTAAAACAAAAACAAACTCATAGGCTTCCCTGGTGGCACAGTGGTTGGGAGTCCGCCTGCCGATGCAGGGGACGCGGGTTCATGCCCCGGTCCGGGAAGATCCCTCATGCCGCTGAGCGGCTGGGCCCGTGAGCCATGGCCGCTGAGCCTGCACGTCCGGAGCCTGTGCTCCGCAACGGGAGAGGCCACAGCAGTGAGAGGCCCGCGTACCGCAAAAAAAAAAAAACAAAAAAAACAAACTCATAGATACAGAGATTAGATGAGTGGTTGCCAGAGGGAAGGGGGGTTGGGGGCGGGTGGGTGAAATGGGTGAAGGGCGTCAGCTGTATGGTGATGGATGGTAACTAGATGTGGGGTGGTGACCACTCTGTAGTGTACACAGATGTTGAATTATAATGTTGTACACCTAAAAATTATATAATAAAAAATGCTTATTTTTTCAGACAAAAAATAAGCCTAACTAGAATACCCAACTCCAGGCATTTCAGTTTAATAGGTTTGTCCTAATGCGTGAAATTAAGCTTGCAAAACGATTTAGTTCACAAATGTAATAATTTGTTTATCTTTATACAGATGATGGTGCTGCATTTGCACAGACTTGTTAATTTTCTGTTTGAAACGTAAAGATGTGATTCCAAATTCATAGTAAGAACAATATAAAATTGTTAGCAACCTTAAAAAATGTCAGGTGAACTGTTATATACTCTGTAGTCTGCATATTGGAAAGTTTTTTCTTCCATCTTTTGGAGGTGGGTAAATATGCCAGTATTCTCCTGTTTGATGTACTAAAGGTCTGGTTTTTGTGTACTGACGGTTAGTTCAGGAAAGGCTCTTCCTGTCTTCTTCCTCGTGGTTAGAGAAGACAGTTGCTATAAGATATGCCAGTACTGGGACTCAAGGCAAAGACCAGGTGGTCTTGTAAGTAGCCACTTGGAATCCAAAAGTGAGGACCTACCCAGATGGGTTGGGCCTTGGCAAAATACTATAATAGATCAAGTTCATATCTGGGCCCTTCTATGTCCTATTTCCTTACTTATTACCTGCCTAAACAAAGTGTTAAGTAAAATGATTGTTTTTTGCTTGATGATACCATTTAAGTAATGAGTAAAGCATGTGCTGATAAAGACTTAGGATACAATTCTTCCAGGGGATTGTTCTATAACTTTTAATTTTGCGCTAGTTTAGACCCACAAGAAGTGGCAGAAATAGTACAAGAGGTCCCATATACCCTTCACCCAGCTTTCCCTAATGGAACCATCTTATCGTACTGGAGTACATTATCAAAACTCAGAAATTAACATTGGCACAATACAGCTAATTAGACAACAGATGGAGGAATTTTTTAAGAATAAAAAATTCTCAAAGCTGAAAGGAAATCTTTTCTGAATCTTAATGTCACCCCTCTCTGTGCACCCCTAGGTTTTTGCCCTTGTCTCACAGTTTGGTGACCCTAGATAACTTTCTCTCTCCTCCACTCTAACCCTTCAGAGCGGGGACCATGCTGTAGACACCCTTTAGTCTTATTGCTTATTAAAGTAACTGGCATTCGATAAATATTTTTGGTTAAAAGGCTGACTGATAATTGCTTAGGTCTATAAAGGGCTTTCCATTTTCAAAGCCCTGTGGTATACATTATCTCTACTGAGAATGTTCACGGTCTGGGAGAAAGAGCATAGACTACGAAAACATTCAAATCGTGGCATTTATTAGCTTGAGTCTTGTGACAAGGTACTGAATGTCCTTGGTCTTTCCTTCCTCATGTGCTTAATTGTATCTACCTAATAGAGTTGTTCTGAAGATCCAAGGAGGTCACTTAATGTAATAAAGAACCGGACACAAGGGCTCTGGGAGGTAGATAGGGTAAAAGACTTTATTGCCATTTTACAAACTAAGGCTCAGAGGGTAAGTTATTGTGGAAAAGTATAGAGCTAGTACAGGGCAGTGCTGTCAAGCCCCTTCAATCTTCCATGATAGCACACTGTCCTTTCAAGGCAACGGGAGAGTGGGTTAACAAACAAACCACTAACAACAACCATGGGGTTAGTTACGGAGATTTAAGACGCTGTCATTATGTGGTTTTCTTCTGCTATATGCCCAGGAAATCCTCTCATTGGTGGGGCTTGATGATGGGATAAACTAACTGGTGAGTCATGGGTGTGGGTTGCTGGGTTGGGGGCCCCTGTCAAATGCCCCTCCAGCCCACCCACCCTGTTGACAGCATGTAGCCAGGAGTCTTGCTTGCCCAATTCTGCTTCTGGAAGGCATGGAGGGAGGAGGTTGACAATGCATTACCAACATTTTTTAAAGGTCCAAAGATAAATTTAAAAAGTTGGAGGGTTTGAAGATTATCATCTTCATCACTATTACCTATTTTTTGCTCATGAAGATAATTTTTTATTGACAAAAGAGAACATAGAACTTTTTTACTAAACACAGAACGTTTTTACCAAATGACTGGTTAACACATTAGCCAAATTGCTTCTCTACCTGCCCTGAATACCTTTTACATTCCCTTGAATCCCTCATCCTAGAATGCCTATTTGGAAGTATTCCTTTGGCTTATTCAATCTGCTCATTTTATTGAAATGGGAGAGGAGATAGAAAAATATGTTATGGATTTATGAGGGTGTTGGCTGCAAAAGTCAAAACACTTGGATTATATTAGAAACATTCAGTTTTTGGTGATGGTGTGCACTTTGACTTTTCATCCTCTAGTTAAAAAATGGGAATGTCAGCAATAAGATCAGAGACGGAGAAAGCTAGGAACTAGAATGTTTCCAAAGGATTTGGAGTCATTTCCTTGGTTACATGCAACCCCACATCTTCGACTGACAAAGTGAGGTGTGCTAAGAGGTCAGGAAGACTGGAGATAAAGGAAAAAAATCACTTTGGTGCAGTGCATGCCATCAGCATTGAGAGAGTTAGGACTGAAATTTACTTTGAGGTATTCTTCAATAGAATGTTTTAGTGTAAATAAACTTCTGCAAACTTTTAAGAGACAGAGAAATGGAAACATGCCTATGAATTCTAAATTTGTTACAGCTTAATAATTCCCAGCATCACAAGGTATGAAAGGGACCCAGAAAGTTTTCTTTCTTGATTTGCTTTGACTTTCCTCATCATGTATTACCTAAGAAACATTTTATTTCTATTTACCTAATAAACTATCAATAAGGTTTAATGAAGAACAAACTCTTTCCTTTGATTAAAAAGCAGATTTTCTGAAAATAAAACATGTATACGGAGAGGAAGCAAAAGCTGTCATGATAGCCAAAGTAAAATGTCCATTTGGGCTCCTCATGTGTCTGTGGTTTTCATCGCTTTCTGCTTTCCCTGGTTTTTCTTTCAAGGAATAGTGAGAAACCGTGCTAAAAATAAAAAAAGGAGTTTTCTGAATGCATCTTTCCCTAAGGAGGCGTACCTATGATACAAATCACAAAGGGCTAGGATAATGAAGCGTTATAAACACACAGGAGCCGGGAGCAAATGTACAGACCTCCCCAGGATGTGTCAATGGGCACATTCCTTGAACACAATCTCTTTAAGGACCACTCCTCTTGAAATATACCATGGCTTATAAAACAATTGTTAATATCAAACCAATTGGTTGTTACGAAGCATAGGTTTACATGGCATGTTAGTATTCTAGTTTTTAGTATAAATACCAGAAATGTATTCAGAGGAATCATTCTGAAGTGAGATAACAGTTTTATCAGAAAAAGCAGTTGCACCTTAAAAGCATTCATGTCAGTAATAAACATTTGTACTTTTGATTATTTCATAAAATCCTAAGGTAGACAAAATTAAATGCTGAGCATACTTACAGTATTTTCCAAAAATCAAGATGTAGAGGAAGACAGGACCAGATGTCATTTCCTTCCCTCAGAGAAACTGATTAATGAAAGTGAATACAATTTGATCCTGGCTTCTGAGTCGCATCGGCTCACGGTGGTTGTGTGCTATTTCTGTCTGCAATCTTAGCAGCTACAAAGCAGCTGCTCCCCCCTCCTCTCCCCTTGACTCTCCCTCTCTCTTTCCATTCCCTCTTTTTTCTTTCTTCCTCTCTCAGAATCTCTCCTCCCCACCCGCCTTCTCCAAAGTCTTAATATCCTTCTTTACACACACACACACACACGCACGCACACACGCACGCGTGCACACACACACATGCACAGACAAAGCTGAGGAGGGATGAAAAGTTTCAGAGAACACACAGGCTCTTCTTGTTGACTCTAAGCATCATGCTTGCATGCCCTGTGACAGTCTACAAAGGAGGGTGTGTATGAACTCTGACAAATGTCTGAACTGATCAAAGTCATGCAGAGAGACAGAAATCGAGCTTGGAGATACATCAGAAGCCCAAAGTGTTTTTTCCCCTACGACGTGGGACTGGGAAATGGACAGAACTACACAGGGCAAAAATGCCTTTGTGGAATTAGCTATAAGGCAAGAATTAAAGAGTAACTTCCAGCAATCTTTTATGAGCTGTCTGAGTTTAGGCATTTGAAGGATAGGATATTGTTCAAAGAACAATCTAAAGGGATGACAAAAAAATCTTAAATTTTCTCAGACTTGTGAGTTTTACTACGGTGGAGACCACGCTGGGTCATTGGCTGTGGGGTAAAACCTTCCTGGGTTTGAGTCACAGTCTGCTTCTTGAGAGTTGTGGAGTTGCTAATTCTTGGCCGAGCCTTACCTCTCGGGAGGAAAACATCTCTCCAGCCAGGTAGCTGTGATGATCAGCACAGGGCACACTGAATGTCTGGCATGGGTTCTAGAGCATTGTGGGTGGTTACTAAACGGCAGCCGTTCATAGGATGATGACTTTTATTATTTTTAGCAGTGGGGGGAAAAAGCATGTAAATGTAAAGAACATTTGCATGGAATGCATTTTCTTTTTTATTTTAATTTTTATTGAAGTACAGTTGATTTACAATATCATGTTAGGTTCAGGTGTACAGCACAGTGATGCAGTTATACATATATGTGTATATATGTATATACATACATATTCTTTTTCAGATTCTTTTCCTTTATAGGTTATTACAAGATATTGAATAGATAGGGGCAGGACAGGAATAAAGACGCATAGACACATAGAGAATGGGCTTGAGGACACGGGGAGGGGGAAGGGTAAGCTGGGACGAAGTGAGAGAGTGGCGTGGGCATATATACACTACCAAATGTAAACTAGATAGCTAGTGGGAAGCAGCCGCATAGCACAGGGAGATCAGCTCGGTGCTTTGTGACCACCTAGAGGGGTGGGATAGGGAGGGTGGGAGGGAGACGCAAGAGGGAGGAGATATGGGGATATATGTATATCTATAGCTGATTCACTTTGTTATACAGCAGAAACTAACACACCCTTGTAAAGCAATTATACTCCAATAAAGATGTTAAAAACAAAAAAGATACTGAGTGGAGTTCCCTGTGCTATACAGTAGGTCCTTGTTGTTTATCTATTTTACATACAGTAGTGTGCATCTGTTAATCCCAAACTCCTAATTTATCCCTCCCCCAAGCTTTCCCCTTTGGTAACCACAAATTTGTTTTCAATGTCTGTGGGTCTATTTCTGTTTTGTAAATAAGTTCTTTTGTGTCATTTTTTAAAGATTCCACGTATAAGACAAACATCATATGATATTTGTCTTTGTCTGGTTTACTTCGCTTAGTACGATAATCTCTAGGTCTATCGATGTTGCTGCGAACGGCATTAGGAGTGCATTTTCTTTAAACTAGGCTATATCATTCTTATTTTGCAACGGGATCACTTATTGCTAGAACAAAGGGTAGCACTTTGACATGAGAAATTTGTTTGTGAAGTTAATCTCCTAACCACTCTTCATGTAGAATCTATTTAAATTACTTGACTTTATATCATTGACTCCAATATATCATTGACTCCTATTTCTACATGGTGGCTCTACGGTTACACTGACACTGCTTTTCTTTTTTCCTGTAGAAGTAGTTAACACCATGAAACGAGAAATGAGGTATACGAATCCTCACAATTCCTTCTTCATTCAGCAGATTTATTTAGTGAAAACCCCATCCTTTTGGTAGAAATGTTTACGGTTAACTGGATTTGAGTGCTCATTTCATGTTCAATAAGTGTTTCTTAAATGTTTATTGTTTATAATAACACTAGAAGTGTTTTAAGTGGTTAATAATTTAAACAATTATTCTAGAAATAGTGCTTCCTGGAAGGATGCTGCGGGACATGTCAAGGGCAGGCCCATCAGAAGCTTCTCAACAGTAAAGCTGAGGAACTTGCCTGGGGAAGTGTCCAGCATAAAGTCAGCTGTTAATACAGAGGTCTTTGATGCAACGCTGATGTTATTTCGTCAGCTTTGAACATTTTGCCTGATGTCACAGACATACACAATTGACCAGCAGCCAGGGAATACTCTTCAGCAATATACACTTGCGACGTATTTTTAATCTCAAATTATCCCTGCAAAGCTTCAAAATAATTTCTCATTTCATTAAGATGATATTAGATTTTGGTAACGTAGCTATTTACCCTGAGGAACAGTTTTAGACATTTGATTTTTCAGGATAACACTTTTTTCTTATTTCTAGCAAAGACAGTGAATCTGGAATATTAGTTTTATATAGGCATGTTGGTGGAGAAAAACTGAGCGTATCAGAGACACATTGCAGCAGACACTATTTTTTACTTAGGGCCAGAGAGTCCTTTACTGCGAAGGGCTGTCTTTTGCCTTGTACTGTAGCCTGTTAAGCAGCATCCCTGGCCTCTACCCACTAGGTGTCGATAGCACGCCCAGGTTGTGACAGTTAAAAATGTTCCCAGATATTGGCAAATGTCCCCTGGGGGCAAACTTGCTCCTGGTTGAGAAGAACTTCACTGTAGCAAAAGACTTCCCTGAACAATGTTTAAATATTGATTTTTACCAGATAATTGAAACAGAATTCTTCTTACTTATATTTAAATTAAAGTGTTTTCTCACTTTCTTGTTCTGCCGTTTTTAAAATGTAATTTTATTAAAAAAAGTTTTTATTGGAGTATAGCTGATTTACAATGTTGTGTTAGTTCTTGTTCTGCAGTTTTGAAGACATACTTTAAAAAGTTTTAAAAACAAATAGATGTTGGTGGGGAGACGGATAACTCGGGAGCTTCGGGTGAACACACACACTACTATATATAAAGTAAATAACCAACAAGGACCTACTGTATAGCACGGGGAGCATATTCAATACTCTGTAATAACCTATATGGGAAATGAATCTGAAAAAGAATGGATATACGTATATGTGTAACTGAATCACTTTGCTGTGAAGCACCTGAAACTAACACAACATTGTATCAACTGTAATATAAAATAAAAATTAAATTAAAAAAATAGAGAACAAATGAAACAAAACAAAACAAAAGAAAACAAAAAACCCAAAGAGACATTGTCCCTGCCTTGCTTTCCCTTCCTGCCCACGTTGTTCAATGATCAACCTGCACTGTGAGCCCCATAGAACCTGTGATGTCATTGCCTCTGCTTGGCTGAGCGCATCCTGGTTTCCACTCCACGTCTGTAGCTGACACAGGCTTATAGAAGTCAACAACTTTTCTTACCTTGGAACTTCTTCTTGAAACCTTATTGCGGCTCTCTGAATAGTAACAAGATCTTCTGTTTGAAAATTACTTCTCAGAACAACCCAGCGAGTCAAGCCAGATGAGCATTATTAACCTGTCTGTACTATGCAGATTCAAGTTTCTAATCTTGTGGTTTTTCCATCCCGCTGTTACTGAAAGGACACTATAATAATGTTCTTCATTATGTTCTAATTTTAAAATTAGATAATGATAGTTAAGGGCTTTGGTCCATGCTTCTGAACCTATTTGCCATCGTCATTTTCAGCAGTAGAAACAGTCATTTTATAAAATGTTTGTTTGATTGTAGACCTGGGAAAGTCCCAGTGAAAGAGGTTGGTAAAAATCTTAATTAGGGCCTCATGATGTAGAGATATTCAGATAACAGTAAGTCAACCCATACATTAAAAATAAGTGCAATCCAAGAGCTAAAATGTATGCTGTCACGTCGTTTCATCCTATGGATGCATTTCTAATAGACAGCTGTCAATCAGGCAACACTTTTGAGATACTCATCATTGCTAAGCCACATCAAAAGACAATTTTAGCTGTCTCAATTTAGCATTAATTAAACGATTCTGGAATGAAATGACTTCTAGGGAATGATATCAAGCAAAATGTGCACCAGGGACAGAGCAATGGATAGGTACAGGTATTTCAAAATATATTTTGTACAAAATCTAAACAATTTCACCCTAGATGGAAATGATCTGAAGCTATTATGTCATTTTGGCAGAGAATCAATGATTAAATGGTAAACCAAGTCCCATGTGGATTCATGTGTTGCCCTTGAGGGATGTAATAGGGACACAACAGAATTAAGTGATCTTCTGCTGAACTGACAGTGTGAAGATGAGGACAGCGTTAGCTAGCTCAACACCTAGTTAACTGTTATCTATCATGCATCTATGTAATCTATCTCTCTAATTATCTATCTATCATCTATCCTGTATCTATCTAATCTATTATCTATCTACCTGATCTATATATCACCTATTATGTATTAGGTATCTATCTAATCTATCTAACCTATTATCTAACTAATCTATCTTATCTATCATCTATCCGATCTACCTAGCTAATCTATTATCTAATCTATCATCTATCTTATCTATCTAACATGTATCTAATATATCTAATCTATTATCTATCTACCTAATCTATATATCACCTATTATGTATTAGGTATCTATCTAATCTATCTAACTAACCTATTATCTAACTAATCTACTATTTATCTTATCTATCATCTATCATACATCTATCTGATCTACCTAGCTAATCTATTATCTAATCTAATCTATCATCTATCTTATCTATCTATCATGTATCTAATATATCTAATCTATTATCTATCTAATCTATTCTCTACCTTATCTATCTATCTGTCTATCATTTATCATCTTACTCAGTAAATACCAGTTGATGGCATTTGTTAAATGCAAACTATCTCCAGAGTTTAGTATTATTAACCTTGCCTGACTTAGTTCTCTCAGACTGTTATAAATGAAGGCACTCAGGTC